GCAGCGGTCCTCCGTAAGGCCATCGAGGAACAAGTCATAACACCATTTTAAAATGCAGCTGGACTCGACGTGGACACCATTTTAGAACTATGGCGACAGTGGTAGCAAATCGATGGCGACAGTGGTAGCAAATCAAGGTAATCAGTATCTACAAAAAAAGTGGTGTCTGCATTAAATTTTGGGTAGCTCAACAACTATGTTACCTGTTTCTAGCTGCATGGAATAGGGAGATGGACATCAACCTAAAACATACAAGAATCAAGGCCATTTGTAGGTATCTGGACGATTTTCTTGTATTGGTGTACTACGCAGGTAGACGACCAGAAGCGTGAATGCACAGCAATGGGTCTGAAAGGCTTTGAGATAGTTGCAGGGATCTGTTAGCCACACAAGTATTACCTTCGAAAAATTCATTAAGTCCCCCGATTTACTTCTTGAGTTTCAGCAACCACACGTATGCTAAAGGTATGAACCTAGGTCAGATAAAAAATTTCTTTCTTTCGAATTAGGCTATTCCAGAACTATTAAAACGAGTGTTGCCAAAACGTCGATGGCCTTCGCCTTAAACAAATTATGCAATCATCGAATTGGGCCAAGTTTTGATAATCGAATTACTCGACTAGGAAATTCTAGCTATGCAACTGGCGTCTAGGGAGCCGTTTTTGAATTCATCTGCATGAACCTCATGAGCAAGAAGACAAGAATCGAAGAAAAGTAAGGATATTGACGAAAAATGGCTGTCATTCCGTACATGCATGATATATCACAGAAGCTGAAAGAGATCGCAAAAGAGCAGGACGGTCAAATCGTGAAATCTGCGCGCAACAATGCAGATGCCATGTGCAGAGAAGTTTTTAACGAAAATGTCCCCAGTGACCCATGTGATACCGCCTACCAACCAAAGTGTGCTCCACGCACGACGGGGGACGTCTACCAACTTCCCTTGTCCTGCGGCAGGTACTATATCGGCCAAACAGGCAGTTGCATCAATAACAGAACCTGTGAGCACGCAGCGCCTTTGACGGGAACGTAAGCCGTACATTTGTCAACGCATTGCAGAACGTGCGAATGCAGTGCAACGTGCGAAAAAATGGCAATATTTGCCACAAACGAGAACCTTGTTATATATATAACGCCGAATCAGCGTTGTATACATAACGCTTATTCTTCGCCCAAAGGTAGCGCTAGAGGTCAGAACCAGATGTCAAAGTATCAGCCCTATCCGATAACTCATTCAAAAGTTATAACTGATTTTCTGAAAATTTCGATGGGAAAATGGAGGCCGACAGAGTTTTCGAACACATGGGGCTCTATGGCACCAGAAACCGAAAACGGGAAAAAATGGGCTTCATTTTCCCAGTGAAATTTTCAGAAAATCACTTATAACTTTTGATTAAGTTATCGGATCGGGCTGAAACTTTGGCATCTGGTTATGACGTCTAAGTCAATTTTTGGGTGGAGAATGAGCGTTTTGCGATGCCTAGTTTAGTTCTGCGGTAAAAAGGACCGTGCCAATTTTCTTTTGTGACACCCTGTATGTGTGTATATATGTATGTGTATATATATATATATATATATATATATATATATATATATATCGTAAAAAAGAGAGAAATGCTTTAAAACGTATTTATTGGACGACGTTCCGAGCAAGGACCGCTTTTCATCAGGTCCTAATGTTGCAGTGAAAGCTGGAAGCCCGCCACTTTGACACGGCGGCAGAAAAAAAAAAAAAAAAAAAAACATTGACGAAAGGCGAAACAACAAGTTCTCAGGACCGACCATGGGTAGACGAAGGCCGCGGCCAGGGAAGGGGCCCCGCATGCCTCCCCAAACAACCTCCCGCTAGGCGCCGTTGGGGCTCGGCAGTGTAAAGAACGAAACAAGGGAATAAAACAAAATCAAGTGGGCCCAAAAGCGCGCCCGGGTGGCCGAGAAGAGCCAGCAGAGACACAGGAGCAGCTCGGGCCCCAACCGAGACGCGCGATGGTTCAAGTTACACACCCAAACACCCCTCTCCACCCCCCCCCCACACACACACACACCCACACACTCACGTGCAAGCATGCCCCCCCCCCCCCCCCCCCCCTTCTTTTCTTCTTCCACTTTCCTTATTTTTATTTTTCTCACCGCCCGCCTCCCCATCTCGCACCCGAGAGCGAAGACCTTCCTCGAGGTCGTAATGATGTCCAGCGCAGGAAAAACTCTAGGCAGGCGGTACTCCGTCTGTTCGTTTTCCCGTCGACGTGGGGGTTCCGAGGAGTTGAACCGCTCAAGATGTAACCAGCTAAGCAGGCCGGCGCTCTCGTTAATGCCCACGCGAAGCGTGTTAAACTTTTTAATTAGGTACGATTCCCTTTGCTCCCTTTCGCGTGCTGTACTAAATCCCGATTGAAGTATAGTTACAAATATTTTGTTTATGTGGTGTTGATCGAGACGCATATGTTTGGAGAGCGGGAGTTTGGGGAGTGCGTTAAGGTGGGACTTGTGATTGTTAAATCTTTGACGGAAGAGAGATCGGTCTGTCCAATATACTGCATGTTGCATACGCGGCAGTGCAACAGATAGACAACATTAGCTGAGTTACAGATATAATTTCCGTTTATCCTAAAGGTGAATAACAGTGAAGTCCGAATTTGTACTTTTTGCCTCCACGGATTCCATCATGTGGCTACACACTTTGCACCGCGGCACCCGGCATGGCCGAGATCCCAGGTACTCCTCTTGCGTGGTTTTGTATCGTACTAGCATGTCTTTAAGGCTTTTTCCTCGACGGTAGACGACGCGTGGAGCCTGCGGAAAGACAGATTGGAGGCAATGGTTTTGTGAGAGAATATTAAAATTTTTGCGTAAGATGTTGTTGAGGTTGGGAAAGTTACTTGCCTAGGTTAGCACTAAATTATATTGATTATTCTCTGAGTTTTGAACGCTTGTTTTGTTGATGGCTGTCGTGCGGTCTAGTTTACTAGCCATTTCTATATCATTGTTTATGACGCCTGGCGGATAATTTTGCCTAATGAGTGCTTTCATTAGATTATCTGCGTTTTGTTTGAAGTATTTCTCGTTGCTGCATATTCGTTTGTACCTATGCGCCTGAGAATAGGGCAAACTATTTTTGCAGTGGCGGGGGTGGCAGCTATCGTAGTTAAGATATTGTTGCCTGTCCGTGGGTTTTCTGTAGAGTTTAGTGGAAAGTTTGTAATCCTAAATTTCGACGGTAACGTCCAAGAAACTAATTGTCTGCTGCGATACGTTGTGGCTGAACCAAATAGAGGAATGAGCCGAATTGTATTCCGAAATAAATGTGTTGAGTTCGTCCTCGGTGCCTGTCCATATCATAAAAAATATCGTCAATATACCTTTTATAGAAATATGGCTGAATCGGACGATGTGCGAGGAACCGACCGTCCAATTCCGCCATGAAAATGTTGGCATAATTTGGGGCCATTTTTGTGCCCATGGTGGTTCCGCTAATTTAGAGGTAATGTTCATCTTCGAATTCAAAATTCAAGCACGAGTCGTAACAATTTGGTTAAGGACTGACAATCGAGTATTGAAGAGTTTCGGGTGTTCACATACGCTCCAATTACCGCTGCGATGCCGTCATCGTGCGGAATATTGGTGTACAGCGCAGTTACGTCCAATGTTACCAGAAATGATCCTGTGGGTATGGTTAGCTGGGATATATCCTGGATGAAATGGTTCGTGTCCCTCAAAAATGACGGAAAGGAGGGGGGATTTCCTTAATTATAGTGTCAATAAAACTTGATATTCTTTCGGTTACTGTTCCTATGCCAGACACTATTGGCCTTCCAGGGTTATTCTCCTTGTGTATTTTAGGTAGCATATGGTGCCTGTGGTGCCAGGGCTTAATGCAGTGGAACATTGCCTTAGTTATGCCACCGTTGTCTTTCAAGTGGAACAGTGTTCTGAGAACAATGGACATGAATCGCAATGTTGAGTCACCTGAAAGTTTTTTTGTAAAATTTGGGGTAATTTATTTGTCGGAGTCTTTCATTAATGTAGTCCCGCGTATTGAGAACAATTACAGCACCACATTTGTCGGCTGGCTTAATAACAATGTCGGTCCTGGAGCCAAGAAGTTTAATGCACTTGTTTTCGGAGAGTGAAAGGTTGTATTTCGGAACCCGTTTTTTTCTGAAATAACTCTATAATTTCCCGCTGTACCACCTCTATGTACATATTCAAGTATTTGTTCCTTTAGTTGCTTGGTGTCCAGTGCTTTTTTGGAATTGAGGGAAGGGGGCAGCCGCCTTCACTAGGGCGCTCGTGAAAATATTCTCGGAGACGTAGACTACGGGAGAAGTTGTCCACGTCCTGGTATAAATGGAATTTGTCATACCCTCCAGGTTGCAGGGGAGAAGCTGAGGCCCTTCGAAAGAATCGTAACCTCTTCTTGTGACAGTGTCGTGCTTGACAAATTTACAATATCGCTTCCAATTTCATTCTGTTGAGAGGATATTTCACCGCCGGCGAAAGAGGCTGGAGACGTCTGTGCAGCAATGCGTGGGCCCCGAGCACAGGTGTTTATTGTCCTGAGGTGCGAACGCGAAGTTGCCTCGGGCGGTGTGGGATCACCTGATGTTCCTGATGGGATGCCACCTTTGTTAATAGAACTATGTATCCGAGAGACGACTCTAAGCCGGTGTCACGCTGTGAATGCTGAGAAGAAATATTGTCACGAACAAATTTTTTTTCCTTTAAGAGCCCGGATTTCACGGATCCGTTTTTGTTCCCCCCCCCCCCCCCCCCCATACCGTTAAAATATATATATATATATATATATATCAAAGAAACCTGTGCACTGAAACACAGCGCCAGGTAATGAGAGTGTAGCCTACATCACGACAGCAGAATATGAGAGCGAAGAATAACAGAAACGACTTCTTAATAGAAAAAAAAAAACATAAATCGCAAAGCGGAATTCAGTACATACAACACAAAATAGAACAATCCTGTTTCCTGTCATTATGACGCAGATTCTGAGAACGCGGCGTCTCTGGCAGCGATCCAGAGGGCTGCCCTCGTGGTGTGCCTTGACGGCGGATTAGCAGACGTGGATCTCTACGAGGTGGCCTGGCCCCGGCAGGTATACAAGGGCGGTTCGAACGCCGAATATGCAGCCAATCGGTGGTGGGACAAGCCGGTTCAGGTAGGCACCAAGACGGGTTTTAAACCGTAGACACAAACCCTCCAAAGTAGGCCGCCAGTGCGCTGGAATGCATGTGAATATTCATCTTCGCTAAGCATTATCCTGGTAGATACAACTGGGAATGTACGTGACCGGAGGCCGATTGTTATTTCGAGCACCGCGCATGTGCGGAGCTGGGAGTGGGCCGTGCATGGACGGGGCGGTGGCCTCGGCCCTCCAGGTGCTGGTCACACCACCACGTGACAGTCTGTAAGAGGAAAGCGTCCGACGCCGAAGCGCTTGCCGATCTTAAAGCCATCTGCGTCCACAATAATGTCGACATGAGGCCTTTCTCGGTTTAGACTCGTTACTCAACAAAACTGTTTGCCTTACCCGGGTTTACTGTGCTTTGATCACTGGATAGATATTTTATTGTTTAGCGCTTTACTAAAACTCAAGAGCAGTTGCTGTAGGTAAACGCCAAGCAAGGAACCAAGCAGTTTCATATGTTTTAGTAAGCAACAGAGAAAACAGCGTTTAAGAATGACCATAGAGTATAAGCGAACAATAGACCACTTGGTAAATTAGGGAAAAAATCAAGAAAGGTAACATAAAAGGCATGAATAATTTGCTCTTTTATATATATAAAAAAAAAAAAAACGATTTCCCAGGTTACGCGTTTAGATACCTTCCTAAATTTTCTACATTTTAGCTACAACAATGTCGCACTTACTGTAGTCCCTGAGAAAGTAAGAACGGCAGGAAGCAGCTTCAGTTGTCTAGCCTTCGAGAATGCTTCGGCACCTTGTGCACACCGAGCTAACTCGACGTCGAAGCACGATGGAAGGCAGTGGGCGCGTTTTGGAGGCCGGGCGTCAATACGCGCCTTGTCGTTCACACTCTGGCGGTGACTAAAATACCAGTCATTATTAAAAAAAAATTATGACACGGTCAGGGGCACACATCATAACTGCGCCCTCCTTCTGTCCTGTTGAAACTTTAAGCTTTAAGAGTTCGATATACCCTTGTCATTACTTCGTGTTTTATATTCACATTCGTTATTGACAATGTAACTCACGACGCGTAGCAACAACATGCCCCGTGAAATAATGCTCATAGATTTTCCTTTTCTTCGTCTCTCGATCCAGGTTGTTGTCGGGGAAGACGGAGGGTCCGCACTTCTGTACGATCACACAGCCTTCGACGGCACCGTGATGGCTCGGGTCACGAATCACTGCTACGATTACGCGTGAGTGTGAATTCAGCCGAAATCAAGTGCTTCTTTAAAGATTCTTATGGGGAGCGAAAGTTTATCTGCTTCTTGCACAGGGGTTGCGATGATGTCAGAACGCAGAGCTCTTATTGGCTGAATGAACGACAAACTAGTGGGTAGACCTGAAGGCATCTAGCATTGAGGTATACCCACTATACCTTCAATCAAAGCCAATCAGATATCAGCGTCGTTCTGAGGTCACCGCAACTCGTGCGCAATAAGCAGACGACTTGCTCTCCGTCTTCACTCTTTTGCCGTTATAATTACGCCTAATCGGAAATTATTCTTCCAAATACAAAATACCTAATAATTAGTTTGAGTGTCTCGTCGATGAAGTAACTACGCAGATTCCCCCAGAGTGTCATAATATTTGGAAATGAATGCCTCTAGGTATATACTCCTTTTAGCACTGAATCCGGTCTAAACGAAAGCTAAGATCTGATCCAGCCAATCAAACAACGTCAAACGTGCTTCGCCAGGACGCTCGTCGTATTTCGGTACGCATGTTGCCACCGGCTTAGCAAATCAAGCCCGGGGTAGGCGCCGTGACCCTGCATTTTGGTTACGAGTTCTGTGCTTGTGTTTGTGTTTTCTAACTTTGCACTGCAATTGCATTTTGGGGTGACACGAAACATTGATAGCTATCGCATATAGATTGGGTTCAGCTGTTAAACCTCCTAACTGATACGAGCACCGCCAAAAACTGGTGAAATGTAGTCGCCTAACTGCATATTGCGGTGGTAAAACGTTTGGAACTTACTTTTGCCAGAAAAACGGCAAAAGCGTTTTCCGTGGTCAGTCTCCGGCCGGCGCGCATCTTTCCGGTGGTGATTCTTCCGCAAGCACCGGCAACTTTCTGGCGCTTTTCTCGCCCGAGCTTCAAACGGCCGGGCGAGCGGACGCCAGACTGTATCCGGTGTCACCTCCTCCGAAATGGGAGATGAGGTTAGTGAGAAAAGATGAGCAAAAAGCTTAACTGATCTGAAGTCCCTTCAGCAGTCAATACTCGAAACCATCCAAGCCGTTGGGACAATACCACGGGGAAAATGGAGGACCCGAGGACACCGGTGAATGAACGGCGGCGAAAGCCTCAGCGGTATTTTGCGGGAAAGCGGCAAAGTAAACTGCCACCGTCTGACGTTTCATGTTTGGGTGCCGAAGGTCACGTGATGTGCCGCCGGCGCGTTTCTGGCAGCCGGTCCCACCGACTCGGTCTCGCTAAGGATTGACTCCCCGAATACCCCGTTAGAATTATTCATCTGAGACTGTCACCTTGTGGTATTCTTCGTGGTAATCTCGCTCTACTAACAATCGCCGCCCGATCGGTATGCGCTTCACTCGTCTCCCAGGGAGAGACACACTGCCACAAGAGGACAGCGAATGGGTTTACTGTACTTCTCGGTTGCCCATCCTCGAGAGCCGGCACTCCGGGTCCACCTACCCTGGCTGTCGCCCGTCATTCAAGGCTCCCAGTTGGAGTCCGCGTTCAGGCCTGCGGATCGTCCTTCGGACGCCAGCGCTATGTAGGCTACCTGTCCCGGGCTATCATAGCCGGAGTCTCGCTGCGAAACCACTCCCGGATCGCCATGGCCGAGGCCGATATGTCGAGGGCTTGCCGTTCCCTTCGGTCTTGGTCAGAACCTCGCTGGCGGACCGCTCCGGGGATCGCCATGGACCAGACCAGCCACAATGGCTCCATCGTTCATGCCGTGCCTCAACCTCGCGCAGCACGCCCTGTCTGGTACCTGCTCGTGTCATCTCGGTCGACCGCCTGTCACTTGCCCTCTGCCCCGTCTTCTTCCCCCCTCGTCTCCCCCCCTCCCTCAAGGCCCGCAGTCCGGCGGACTTCCGGTACACGGGACTGCATCGGCCTCAGGGAGGAGTTCCTCCACGTTGATGGAGGGGGGAGACAGGTGTGCACTTTGGTCGGGGCCGTGTGAGGTGTCGGAGAGGCGGCCGCTATTGTTGTTGCCGGAGTGGCCAGGTTGAAGCGTCCGAAAGCGGCGTAGTTGGTGGTAGGACCCTTAATGTTGGTCTTTCTTGGTGCCGGCCTCAGCTGATTTTTCTAGCGAAGCTGGCAGACGATGTCGACCTGTTCGTCGCTCGCTGTTCCACTGACCATGATGCGGCAGGGGGCCTGCTCTAAGCTTGTCTACCCGGCGTGGACGGACTTGTCCCGTTTCACTTGAAAGTCGCCTCGGGCGTGGAACTGGCCGATTTAACCGTTCGTCAGGCCGGACAAGTGTCAGCCAACCTGAGCAGTTGGGAAAACGGATGGGTCCATGTTTTTTCCCGGTGGACTTCCTGGGTTACGCCGTCAATGGCCGCCATTCCAAGAAGACATTCTACGCAGCACAAAGTTTTAAAACAACAAATAACGAACAAATACTCTGCCGGAGATTGTGATAGTGGCCATAGCCTCCAGTGCAAAATTGATTGCCGACGGGTTCGTGTACCGTGCGGCAAACTCGGCGAATTCGCATTCCGGAGCCCTCACCTCGGTCGCCAGGAACAGGGAATTTTATGTGTCCTACCGCAACCTCATGTTAATCCACTTCCCCATCGCGACGGTAGTATTCCTTCAAGTGAGCGATGTAAACTGGGCCAGGCTCCTTTTTTTTGTATCTCGCCGAATAAGCCTAGAATTAAAACACGACTCTCGAGTCTTTACATTGGGGGCACTTCTCACTTCAGAGCAAGCGATGCGAGAAAACCACTAGCTGCGTTGCTCAAAGCGCGAGTTTCCTTTAGGACAGGTAATGTTGGTGTAAATTTAGTCCATATGTTGAGCAAGAGAAGGGATCCAAAGCCTGTGGCGGGAAGGCCGTATACCATACCCGCGTTCCGCAACAGCCGCTTATACCGTGCGCGAATCGATGTACGCTCCAGCGCCCGGTTCCGTCCACGTGCATAGGGGCTCCAGGGACTTGTCGGTCCCCGGAGGGGGCGGCAGCTCAGCGAGCAAGCCCGCTTGAACCGTTCGCGCCTCAGGGCAACCTGGACAGCTACAAGCCAGCCTAAATGTCTACCGCCTCATCCTCGGCTACACCGTGATGCGACATAACTTATTAAAAGTCTTGCTGTCCCTGCCATTACCGTCCAGAGTGAAGTCGAAAAAGCATCGTTTAAATCGTCTCCGTAGCTTTCCAGGAAAGACCCCCTGAAGGGAGAGTCGTTGCTCTGCCCTTCGTTGATTGTTGCGATGACGCGAAGCAAAAACCTGTCTTGGTCCAGCAGATACAAATCGTAGTGCTCAGTAACTCGCCTACCAGCGCTCCTGGTGTCAACTGCTTTCCAAGATATTTTTCCGACAGCCTCTAACAAACTCGTCCGCTAGCGTTCCCGGTGTCAAGTGCTGTTCCCGCAATTTTTTTCCGACACCAACTGCAAATCTCGTCCGCCAATGTTCCCGGTGTCAACTGGTATTCCCACAATCTTTCCGAAACCTCCTGAAAAAACACTCATCTGTCCCCGTTTTCTCGACAAACACTTCCTTGATCACCACATTACCCCAAGCCACGACCTTCGGTACACCCGTCCAGCGCCCTGATTCTGCAACAAGTCCTTGCTGCTTCCCCTCCTGCCAGTCGTTATCCTGCCTTCCAGCGAACATGCGGTGCCTTTCCTCTGCCTCCGAAGACGGCTTTCTTACATCTTGACCGCGCTCCTCGTCATCCCCTCGGTTGCGTCACCTCCTCCCAACCACTATTCTGGGGTACTCGAGAGAGCAGCGTCCGCAACCTCGTTCTTCGAGTACTTTTGGCACTCGATACGAGGAGACACCTGCTGAGCTCTGCTCTGAGACAAGTCGCCAAAATTCCAACAAACGTTGTCTCGACGGGCATCGTTAGCGTGAATGAATAACCCGCTCAAGGAATCTGTGAGACTCTTTGGGGACGACTGAAAGCAGTGGCTTATTGACCGGGCCTCACGTTGGGTGCTCCATTTTAAGTTTTCTTTGTGATAATCTCGCTCTATTAATAATCGCCCCCGATCAGTATACGCTTTGCTCGTCTCCAAAGGAGTTGCACGATACAACGAGAAGACAGCTAATGGCTTTACTTTAATTCCCGGCTTCACTTCCTCGAGAACCGGCCGGCACTCCGGGCCCGCCGACCCTGGTTGTCACCGTCGTTCAGAGCTTGCAGTGGGAGTCCCTGCACAGGTCTGCAGATCGTCCCTCTCACGCCAGAGCTGCGTAGGCTAGCTGTCCCCGGCTATCATAGCCCGAGTCTTTTTTGCTTTTGATGCTGCTTGATGGGTCTAATTTGCTCGTAGCCTAATCTGCGCCTGAACTTAAGCTGAAACGAAATATGGGGAATACATTTAACTGGCTAAAAAGCCGAAGGCTTTGGCCCCGAGCTGCTTTCGCTTAGATGGAACAGCTGGACCCGCACGGCCTCGCTGTTTCCCAGGTCGAATAGCAAAACGGAGATGCCGCCATCTGCCGTCGTGAATACCCGTCGAGAAAGCGCAGACATCCGTCTCTTCTGTCTTGGCGGATTCGGAGTCTCGGTGCGTCGGCGGCAGACCTCCCGCACGGGCAGCGCCACCGTATGAACAGCCTGATGCGCGTGCGTTTCCTCGACTCCGGCTCTCCCCACCGCTTGGGTAGGAATTTGCGCTCTAGGCGCGCTGTTTAATGTAAGCGAGCAGAGTAGAATATTTTAAACTAATTGGCACGACTTCCTGACCTTCCTTTTTTCAACCTGTGAAGGTTCAGCAAAAAAACAACAAAAAAAACTCTTACCTGAAACAAACTGCCAGCCACGGTCGTTATTAACAATTGCAAGAAAACGAAATTAGGTGAATAATTGCCTATACTTACTCGTCAAATTTATAAATAAGCAAAAATAAATATATTATTCCTATTAGAAACTTTTTAAGCATCATCGGAAACCACAAAAGCGACTAATGTTATCAAAATATAAGAAAAAAAAAAAAACTTCCGGCGTTAGAAAAAAAAAAAGGAACGT